TTTTATAGCACAAAGCAACACAATTTGTGGTAACACACTTACTGAAGTGCAAGCATAGTGGTCTGTGTAACACTACAGAGACTGGCAAATGGGAGTGCTGCTAGAGGAATGATTTACTGGTAGTCACCAATTGGTTGAAAGGGGCAACACTGGCCCAAACCAACATGACTACAGATATCGTCTATAATGCCCAGTCTGCACAGCTTTACACAACAGGTCTTTACATGTACCTTGGCGAGCTCTGTGAATCTGACTCGTGAGTCGGGCTTCTGGGGAGCGACCCGAGCCTCATCTGGGACCTGAAATGAAGAATGAAATGTTACCAACAGATCTCCCTGTCCTCTTCAAATATAAACTGGTCATCACCCCAAAATTCTGTTTAAACATATTCTCAAGATCTGTTGCTCAAGCAGATGGCCAGGTTCCAGATGGCAACTAATGAATGTATGCCTACCTTCCACAGCTGAAGGGCCTCCTTCCTGATCCTCCCTTGTCCTGCTTCAAACAATGTGCTGGAAGATGTGAATGTTATACATTATAAAAATTAACAATCCTTCCTTGATAGGTACAGGATAGATGATTAACAAAAATGATGAAGAAAACAATATTGCAACACTGCCCCATCATATCCATTGCTAAGTCCATCAGAGGTGACATTAGCCTGTCTGTAAAGAGAAGGTCTGGAACTCACGTGTCCTGGGTATATGCTCTGATCTTAGCAAGGTGCTTTGTCTGCTTCTCAGCCAACCTGAAAGAAGGAAGTAGCACATCTCAGGTAAATGGATCTACAGTAACTCAGCAAACAGTGAAACTGTCATGACAAATCCCAGTGTGAGCAAACCAAAAATTACAGAGCTGAGTTGGAAAACTACTGACATTGTGTTTAGTTGTAATAGTTGGAAGTACTATTTGGCACCAATGTAATGTACATACAGATAACAAGACTTCACAATTGCCTAAATTTGCTGACTAAAAAATCAAAGAACTTTCACAGACAATATGCTACATCATTCTGTACTGAACCATTGTCAAACTACATATATAGAAGAATACTGAAAACAACTCCTTACTTTTCATTAGAGGACACCATGTACTGGAAGAACTGAGAATCCTTCTTGATGATGTCAAGAGGAACCACCTCATTCACATCAACGTCTGTGTTCTTGAGTCTGTTCATCTGTATGTTCACCTTGAAGAGGTACTCTTCCACCACCTCATAGCCTGGCTTCAGACCCTTGCAGACTACATATCTGGGATAGGAAACCAGATGATTATAACAATGAGCACTGTACTGGTCACTATACAGTATATTATTTTTTTTTCATTTTTTTTTCAAACTTCATGTTAGCAGTCATACTTTTGAACCCACATGTATAAAGTTAAAATTCAGATTACTGTTGCCGACTAACTTGCTGACTAGGGGAGGGTTGCAGTATATAGTAAAGCATGGCCTGTCTGTGTGTGTGTGTGTGTTTCTGCAATTCCCAATATAGACATGCTGTTTTTCTTTTGGGGGGGGGGAGGGCTGAAGAGTTGCAAATAGGTACAGGTAAGGGTACAAGTAAAGTCTGCCTGCCATCTCTGATTTCCTCATTCCCAGTTTGTGTTGATTCTCACCGTTCTGAGTTGGCAGGTCGACTGGTGATGGGTTTGAAGATGCAGACCTGGTGGAAGCAGTGGTAGAGAAGGTACACAAGTCCCACACTGAAGGGGGTGAACACGTCAAAGGTCTTACACACAAAACAGCCACCTGTGTGGAGGGAAAGATGAGGAGACAGTTGTAACAAACTCCTTCATCATCATCATCATGCCTCCTTACTGAATGTAATCATGACAAATTTGAAGACTAAAATGGATGAAATCAAGTCATTTTCAACACAAGGAACAATACACTTCTGTAAGGTTATGTGCCACTTGAAGTTTGTGTTTTTTCATGCTATGTAGTGTATACAATGTTTATGTATGTCTAAAAAAACTAGACTGTAATCACACATTGGTATGTAGATAGTTAAATCTTGAGAACTGACCTATCCTGAGGATGGAGAGGGCACACAGGAACTCACACAGCACTAGCTGTTTACTCAACACCTCCTGAAGGTTCTCCTGACCCTCCACAGAAAAACCCTGAACAACATCACAAACATAAAAAAAACTTGTCAAGCAATAGTACTGAAAATAGGGTGCACACATGTAGCTTGATGATTAACCTTTAAGATCATTTCATAGACATCTGTGCATGAATTGACTTTTGTCTGTTTCACACTATTTTCCACAACTTCTCAAGAATATCTGACAGCAATTCCTCTAACAGAAGAACATGTCACAAAATTTCCCTTAAGTCATCCCTTTGGATCAATACTCTACAAACAGAAAGTGGCTACCTACCCCGTCCCCCATGACAAAGTGCACACCCTTGCCCTCTGTGCTGTCTAACACAAACTTCTTGAAGGCTGTCAGGTTAGCTGGCTTCATGATGTCACCATCTCCATCTATCCCACCTTCACCTGTAACACAGTATTGTTGCACACAGGCACACATTCAACAAGTTGTGAAACAAGAGCACATGGATCATGAAACAAGGATCATGTAGGAAATTTTAACAACCAAACCAACATCTCAAATTGATTTCATAATGACCTTCCTTGCAATTCTGCAGGGTTTGTTGTTCACTAGGTGGTTTCCTGAAAATTCCAAACTATTGCTAAAAACTCACCATAATAGGGCTCAAACATCTCACTGGAGGCAGCAAAGAACTCCTCCAGTTTGAAGTCGTTTGGCCCCCTGATGGTGAGACCGAAGCCCTTGGCGTGCCACTTCTTCCTCCACAGGACGTACTCCGAGAACCCGCCCGGACCAGCACAGATGTCAGCAAAGTACAGCAAGTCATGGGCACCAACCATGGGCTCCTGTAAGGACAAACACTTGTGAGAGGAGTAAAGCACCAATTGGTAGCAGTCCTGATTATGACACACAAGGTCAGGGATTTGATCCAGACCTACACATGTAGTTCTGCATGCTAATGTTAGGGGCTGCAGTGAATGAGACTTTAAGCCAAAGGTCCTGGTTTTTAGCAAAGCCAGAGCTAAAGCAAGTTATACAACCCACCACTACAAAGATGACCATCTACATAATGATACACCAACAATTACTCAGCAGACATAGATAAAACATGTGACATGCTCACCCCTTTGTCGTTCTTGGGATCAGTGAACATGTAGTCAAACACATGGTCCATGTTAGCCATCTTCATGGCAGCTCTGGGGGTGAGAACAGAAATGACAAGTTCAGAAACAGTACAACAATACTGCCTCAGCATCCTGTTTTAAGGAAGAAGTGCTCACTTTTAGAACTCAACATTATACATGTAAGAAGGCAATCAGAGATGACAGATTTCACTCTCTCACCCACACGGCTTTATGACTCTTCTGTTCCCACAGACAAAAAAAAATCCCTGAAGATATACAATGTATGGCAATGCTGTATTGTCTATATTAGGAATCACACACATACACAGACAACCCCGAGACAATACTTCCTACCCATGGGGTAAAGTAAAACTACAAGGCTGTATGAGAACCTTGTACCTGTTCTGAAAGATGGCTCCCCTGATGGTCTCATAAGGGTTGGCCCTGGTTCTGGCATTCCTCATCTCTTGTCCTTCCAGGACATCAAACACACTCTGAACAAAACACAGAAAAATAGACTTTTATCTTATCAGAAGAAAGGCATGGAATCCTAAAATAGAAACACAGATAACTGGAGGCTCTGCCTTATTGACATACTTGTCCTTTATCTACAATACAAACCCAAGACAATATTACCAGTATGTTATCAACAACTATACTACTAGATACTCTTCCTACCTTACACTTCAGCAAGTCTAGCAAGATTTCTTCACCACAAAACTCCACTTCATCTTCAATCTGGTTCTTCCTCTGCAAAGGAGCAACAGAAAATCAATAAATGATGAAGAGGTAGAAAAAATAATGACCTTATTCTCAAATGCTCTAAGTCACTGCTTTTTATCATAGAAAAATGAGCACTTGAATTTGTGTGCAAGTTTTCCCCGAGGCATCATTATTCATATACTAGTATTTTCCTTCATAGAACAGACATTTGGAGTTAGAAAAGAAACTATTCTTCTTACAAGCTTAGCAGGAGAGACCTATTGACCCATCCTGAGACATCTGTTCTAAGTTCAGTAAAAACAAAGATTCTTACTGTTCCCTCCAGGACCCAGTCCTGTAAGGTGTCTTTGCTTGGAACAGGATTCTCACAAGCAGGCAGCCACTCTGGCCTCTCATGGACAGAAGGCTGAGGGGAAAGGAACATGGAACGTGCATCAGAAATCACTATATAATAGTAGTGCTAAGAGTAAGAGTATAACAATACAATTTGTTAATGAAGCTATCGAAAACACATTGAACCAACTCTGCCTCGACATGCAAAAATCTTAGTTCCAGTTGCCAATTTTGGTATATTTTTCTGTTCGTCCCATAATAGAACAAACAAATGTTTCTTTTGAAAGCTAGTATAAGTAGTAGTAGTACATGTACATACTGGTTCCTCGTCTGTCCAGTCGATGTCGATTTCTCCATCGAAGGCCTCCAGCTTGAGACCCAGACCGCGGCGCCCGCGCTGGGTGGACGCCTCCACGATGTCCTTCCGTCCCTGCCCATGCTTCCCCAGACCCTCCTCCTTCCTGTAACCCATCTTGGCCTGTACACAGAATCATGGGGGGAACTATCAACAATAATGAAATCCCTAACATTTTTTCTTCCATCCATTCAGGAGAGTCTATTGCTACAAACTTTCTTTTAGAAATAAAACTGGTATAGTAGACATCTGCGGGAAAGAAAATGGCGTCTTGTACTAAATTATGTAAATGCCTTGGTGGATGTTAATTTTCACCATTAGAATCTAACGCTACCATTTCACTGAGGAATGTCTATCCAGAAAATTGTATGCTTTGTTCGTTATCTGTTACTGTCTGACTAGACATAGGCTGCCCACCAATAAGACTTTGGCCCCAATTGTACTTGTACCACACTTACAATATCTGGTTTTCTATCTATTTTTCTTATACATGAAAAATTGTCTACTCTGTCTGAAGACTAACCATCATCCGTTCAGCAAAACTGTTATACAGAGGAGCAGCCTGAGCAGGGCCAGACTGAGACGGGCCCACGGCTGCTGATGTGCCCAGTGGGGGAGGCCTGGCTGTATCATCATCATCATCACTTTCTGTAGAGTCTGGAGCAAGTTGTAGGGAAAAGTACAAGTGAGTGAACCTTCATATGTTTATAATGTCAAAGGGTTGAAATGATTGAAGATGGGTGAAGATTTAACCTCAAGACAAGCATTCTCAAAATTGCAGTGATTCATGAACAGATAATGTGATACCAAGGAAACTAGATTTCATCCATCACTGGAGTCACATGTTAATTAGGTTAAGGCATTGAGTAATTAGGCTAAAAGGCTCTTTTTTTTGAGACAGAGATTTTTAGAAGCAGCGATTCTGCAAACCAACAAATTAAATTGGTGTGGCCTTAAACTTAAAGCTAAAAAATGTTTTTCAGATTTTGAAGCGTGACAACCAATGTATTGAATTAGTACAGCCCGAGATATCTGAGTGTGTTATTCTTAGTAAGTAATCCATTTCTGACTACAGGTGTGACTATCAGACTTCTGGGTGAACCCATTCATCTGCCCCAGGGGTGGATTGTTTACAGTTCACAGTCTGCCAGCCTAACCCGGAAACAAATACAAGCTGTGTGGACTTTGGCCAGGAACAGTGCTGACGTGTGTGCACATGTACGCATCATGGCTTCTCCACAGTCAAGTCTGGGAGAACAAATCAGGGAGGAACTGTCCTGTAGTATCTGTCTGGAGCTGTTCACCAGGCCCAAAGTGCTGCCCTGTATGCACACCTTCTGTCAGGACTGCCTGAGGGACCATGCACGAGTTCGGCAGCCGTTTGAGTGCCCAAACTGCCGTCTACAGGGCACCCTCCCCACCCAGGGTGTCCCCGGGTTACCTGACAATCATCTAGTGGCAAACCTGTGTGAGAGGATCAGTAAACAGGTAAAACTACCTGTGAACACACCTAAACAGACCCAGTCTGAGAATAAATGTATCTTCCACCCCTGGGAGGAGCTAAAGCTGTACTGTGAGCAGTGTCAGCTGTCTGTGTGTACTGAGTGTATGGGAGGCCTCCATGCCGGCCATCGTACAACAACACCTAAGAAGGCTTCACAAGAAAGGAGAGCAGCTGTCCAAGAACTAGTATCAGAGGGAAGAAACCTTTTGGAAACCTATTTCACCTTCTTAAGAAGCCTTAGAGACAAGGAGAAAGTTCTGATCCAACACAGACAGCAGACGGACAAGAACATTAACCACACCTTCAATGAAATGGTTCAGAGGTTAATTAACATGAAGGAGAGTCTGTTGTCTGAAGTGGACCAAACACACAGGCAGAACGTGACAGCTATAGAGGGGCAGAGAGAAATGGTGCTGACTCAAGTGTCAGAGCTGGCCGCTATCTGTGACAGTGCTGAGGACAGGCTGAGACAGGGTGGTATGGACCTACCAGGGCAGGAGAGAAGCCTCACACAGGTTATCGGAAAATACAGAACACAAGCACCTCTTAGCCTTGTCCACATACAAACAAGGGCTGCTGTCTTTCACCCCTCAGACACTAGGAAGCTGGAACTTGGACAAGTCAGTCTCCATTCTGTAAGGTCCCCCTCTATATCCACACCAACACATCATGCAACAGGACTGACGTATGACTCAGAATACCATCTCCAAGGAGACCAAGAAAAGGGCCATCACCAGTTAGAAAGGACAACCTTTGGTGGCAAAGGGTCTGAACAGGGAAAGTTTGACAGGCCTTTTGGGGTGACAGTGTCAGAGGATGGAGAGATCTTTGTCGCAGACCGGGGCAACCAGAGGATTCAAATCTTTACTCTACAAGGGACGTTTGTTTCTGAGTTTGAGACAGTTATATCCGGTGGACAGAACATCTCTCCCCAGACTGTGGCAGTAGACACAGAAGGGAACCTGTGGGTGGTGGGGAACCATGGGGTAGCTGACTTTGCTGTGCTGTACACCAGGGAAGGGAAGGTCCTGACAACAATCGACCTACAACAGACCAGGTGGTCCCGGGGGGTTGCCATAGACACCAGGAGGAACAACATCATTGTTACACAGACTAAGGGAGAGTGGGGGTTCTGCTGCGGAGAGGTGCAAGTCTTCAGGCCGGATGGGAAACTTGTCAGAACTA